ATTTTATATATTTTTGAATAATAAAAAGATAAAAAAATAAAAACTAAAGTATTGCATTCACAAACTACGACATAAGCCGCCAAACTAACCCATTTTCGCACATAAAACCCCTATGCTATTTTTTATCCTTACAAGCCCCTTAACTTTGGGATATAAGCAAATTAACCCTTTGTTAAGGCTTTCAATACTACTCGTTTAAAAATCTGATCATAGCAGTCAAAGGAAATAGTTAAATCATAGTTTAGTGCATATACTTTTCAAAATTTAAATAAAATTAATCCCTTCACTTAAACAAGCTTTACTAAAAGATTTAAAACAAAAGAAAAAAGTATCAATCCTGTAGCAGACATTCCAAAACCCCACCATGGTTTTCATCTTTCAAGAAATCCATTAAACATCATATTTCAAACTTCTCCCCAACTCATCCCAAGGTCAAAATGAAAAATTAAGAAGGCAAAAAAGTCAAGATGTATATTTTCAACACTCTTGTTTTTTCTAATGCAAGGAAGTACAATTTTATATTGATTTGATTGTAAAAGGAAGAACCTGTAAAACTAAAATGAAATCTATTTATGAATTAGGTAAGGATAAAATTTTTGGTATGCTTTAAATCAATTTTAGTTTTTAAAGATTTCTTAATTAGGAAGCGAAAAAAAAAAGTTAGTTTTGCTTAGCTTCTTGCCTATATAAACAGATAATGTGCGAATGAAACTCAATTGTAATTTTCGGCTATTTCATTCATTTATTTAATAATTAAATCTAAAATTCCATTTATTTTTATAATTAATTAATATTTTAATTAGAGAAAAGTTATCCCATCAGTTACATTTCAAGAGAGTTTAATTCAATGATTAGCCTATTAACTATTAACTTAATTTTATTTTAGTCTAAAAAGTTAATTCTCTTTCTAAATAGCCTATAAATTTGGTAAAATATTTTAGAATAATCTATTGTACAAAACTTTCATTAGTTTTAATAGAAAAATAACAGAAAAAAAATTAAAATTAAAACAAAGTAGCTCTAATTAGTAAAGCAATTTACAGTAAACCAGGTAACTTATTAAAATATGTTAATAATTACGATTTCTACTATAAAAAAGAATTATTAAAAGGAAAAACTAAAGTAACATATAATAAAAGTTATAGTTTCTTATTTGAAAATTAATTTCAACGAATAAAAATTCATAAAAAAATATAATTAAAATCAATTTGATCAAACAAAATAAAAGATAATAAATGAAATTAAAAGTATTAAATTAATAGATGAAAAAAAATTATTGAACTGTTTATTAAATAAAGTCTTTCAAGAGCTACCATTAATTATATATATATATTGATCTCTAAATTTTTTAAAAAGAACGAATTGAATAACAATAACAAAATTTTGTTTACTGTAGTTTTCTTTTCTTTTCCCTTTTATAATAAGTTGAGTTTGGGATGCATCGGAAATATGATGTTGAACAGACTTATCGAGACTTGTGACATGGAAACCATGTTGAGGACTTTTTTTTTTTAATCATAGGATTATTTGTTCTTTTGATTTCTTGTTTTAATTTTTTTTTAGCAAATTCAGTTAAAAATAAAAGAACTAATTTTTGTTAAATATGAAAGTATATATATTGACTTAAACTACAATTTAACCTTTTTCTTTGACAGCTGTGATTAGATTTTTTTACGGAAACTAGCAGAACAGTTAACAAAGGGTTTCCTTCTGGCACAAATAGAAGAGTTAAGGGCTTATAAGTCTAAAAAGATAGTTTAGGGGCTCGTGTTGAAGAATAGGGTAACTTCAAGAGCTTAAGATTTGCCATTATAATATTAATGTGCAACCAAAATTAAAAATTATCCGTTCATCAAAAGAAATTAAAATAAAATCATCCATTCTCAAAGAAAAAAAAATTAAAATCATCTAAATATCTAATCTTCCACACAATATTTAAACCATAATCATGATGACCAAAAATTTCCATGATCGATAAAAAGAGAAGAAATTTTCACAAACCATAGTTATCTCCAAGAATTGAAAGCCAATTTTCAAACTTTCCCAGTCTTCACGTTGCACAACAGTAGCACAAGACTTGTAAAAGCTGTATTATTATTATGGTGGGGCAAAAGGACAATGAAAGCACCAATTAAATTGACTTTAAAGCAACAAGGACCAAAAGGACATCCAAGTCTTGGCGAAAGGTGTTTTATTTGCCTATTTATGGGACTATATATCAATCTACAAGCAAAATTAAATATCACATCTCATCTTCCATACAATATTGAAACCATCATTATGAGGGAAACTTTCCGTGCTATGCTTGTTCTAGTTGCTATATTGTTCTTTGGAGCTGCAGAGTTTTGTTCCGGTCGGAACACAAGCTTTAGCTGTATAGAAAGGGAGAGAGAAGCCCTTTTGAAATTCAAACTTTGTTTCCATGATCCATCGCATATGTTGTCTTCTTGGAAAGGACATGACTGTTGTGAATGGAGAGGTGTAGATTGTGACAAAAATAGTAGATATGTTACCTCGCTTCAACTCAGGGGATCAATATCTTATCAACTTGATTGGTATAAACAACCTCAATTGTGCTTGATGGACGATGTAGAGGAGGTTGTTTCAAGTTTGCTCAAGCTAAGCTACTTGGAACACCTGGACTTGAGCAACAATAATTTTAGTGGTAATCTTATTCCACCCTCCTTTGGCTTGATGAAGCAGCTAAGGTACCTAAATCTCTCTAATGTGCAATTCAGAGGAAGAATTCCTAACGAACTTGGAAATCTTACAAGGCTTCGTGTTCTTGATCTTTCTCAATATCATTATGAGGGATTGAAGGTTAATGATGACATTCAATGGATTTCTCATCTCTCCTCTTTGCAACGACTTGATATGAGTGGAGTAAATCAAAGCCGTGCATCATCAAACTTGTTTCAGGTACTCGGCATGCTTTCTTCATTATCATGGTTGAGTCTGTCAGACTGTAGTCTAAAAAGTTCTCACCTACCATCTCACAACCATCTTCTTAATTTCACATGGCTTGGAAATATTCAACACTTCGATATTTCAGAAAACTCTTTTCATGGTCCCATACCTACTTTTCTCCAAAACATGACTTCATTGACATTTCTTGATATGAGTGGAGTAAATCTAAGCCTTACATCATCAAACTTGTTTCAGGTACTTGGTATGCTTCCTTCATTATCATGGTTAAGTCTGTCAAGCTGTAGTCTTAAAAATTGCCACTTGCCATCTCCCAACCATCCCTTTAATTTTACGTTGCTTGGCAATATTCAACACTTAGATCTTTCAAATAACTTTTTCCAAGGTCCAATACCTATATTTCTCCAAAACATGACTTCCTTGATATTTCTTTATCTTTCTAGCAATCAATTGAATGGGAGTATTCCAAATAGCATGGGGCAAATGTCTAAGTTAGAAAGTATAGATCTTTTTGATAATCAATTGAGTGGGACTATTCCAAATAGCATCGGGCAACTCTCTAAGTTAAAGAGCATAGATCTTTTTGAGAATCAATTGAGTGGGAGTATTCCAGGTAGCATCGGGCAACTCTCTAGGTTAAAGAGCATAGATCTTTCTGAGAATCAATTGAGTGGGAGTATTCCAGATAGTATCGGGCAACTCTTTAAGTTAGAGAGCATATATCTTTTTAGCAATCAATTGAGCGGCAGTATTCCAGATAGTATCGGGCAACTCTCTAAGTTAGAGAGCATATATCTTTTTAGCAATCAATTGAGCGGGAGTATTCCAGATAGTATCGGGCAACTCTCTAAGTTAAAGAGCATATATCTTTTTGAGAATCAATTGAGTGGGAGTATTCCAGGTAGTATCGGGCAACTCTCTAAGTTAAAGAACATAGATCTTTCTGAGAATCAATTGAGTAGGAGTATTCCAGATAGCATCGGGCAACTCTCTAAGTTAGAGAATATAGATCTTTCTGAGAATCAATTGAGTGGGAGTATTCCAGATAGCATCGGGCAACTCTCTAAGTTAGAGAATATAGATCTTTCTGAGAATCAATTGAGTGAGAGTATTCCAGATAGCATCGGGCTACTTTCTAAGTTAGAGAGCATATATCTTTCTAGCAATCAATTGAATGGGAGTATTCTAGATAGCATCAATCAACTTTCTAAGTTAGAGAATATAGATCTTTCTAGCAACCAATTGAGTGGGAGTATTCCAGATAGCATCGGGCAATTTTCTAAGTTAAAGAGCTTATATCTTTCTCACAATCAATTGAGTGGGAATATTCCAAATAGCATCGGGCAGCTTTCTAAGTTAAAGAGCATATATCTTTCTCATAATCAATTGAATGGGAGTATTCCAAATAGCATCTGGCAACTCTCTAAGTTAGAGAGTATAGATCTTTCTAGCAATCAATTTGGAACAAGATTTCCTAAATGGCATCAATTACAAGAGACGATACGCTTAGTTGATCTCTCTAATGCTAGCATCTCAGGTCCTCTTCCAGAAAATATAGGTCATATGATGCCAATGTTGTGGGGATTATATCTTGCAAATAACTTCATGAATGGTTCAATTCCAAAGTCACTATGCAATGTACAAACATTGACAGCACTTGATCTCTCAAACAATATGTTATCTGGAAATATTCCAAAGTCACTATGCAATTCAAAAGATTTGATATTTCTTCAACTCTCAAACAATATGTTATCTGGAAATATTCCTAATTGTTGGAGAAATGATCAATCATTCCAGTTTATTGATCTATCTTCCAACAATCTTTCAGGTTTATTTCCAAGCACAATGGCGCGACTTTCTTTTTTAAGTGAATTGCACTTAAACAACAATAGTCTCCATAAGGAACTACATGTGACCTTGAAAAACTTTACTTCTTTAGTGGTTTTGGATTTGGGTGAAAATAAATTTTCTGGAAATTTAACAAGTATTATAAGAGGCAAGATCAGCAACCACTCTTTAAAGGTTCTCCGACTGCGAAAAAATTTGATTTCCGGTTACATTCCTTTGGAACTATGCTTTCTCTCTCAATTGCAAATTTTAGATCTTGCTGATAATAATCTGACAGGAAGAATTCCTCCTTGTTTTGAAAAGTTTCCGATTATGGTGAATGCAACACAATTGAGCCATGACATAGGTAATGAATATTGGGATCAAGACCCTCCAGTGGATGTTCTGCTTTTTAGATACATTGAGCATTGGGATTTGGCACCTTTGATGGAGGTTGTAAAAGGGAGATACCTTGAGTATATAAGAATAACTCTAAGACTTGAGATTAGTATAGATCTTTCGAGTAACAATCTAATAGGATCCATACCAGAGGAGCTAATTTTCCTTAAGAATTTGCACAATTTGAATCTGTCTTGGAATCATCTCTCAGGAAATATCCCTGAAAAAATTGGACAAATGGAGAATTTAGAATCTCTCGATTTCTCCAAGAATAGCCTCTCAGGAATGATCCCGAACAGTATGTCAAGTTTAACCAAGTTAAGCTACCTCAACTTATCTTACAACAACTTGTCAGGGCCAATTCCAACAGGCTATCAGCTCCAAACACTCGAAGATCCAACCATGTATGCTGGCAATCCTCAACTCTGTGGAGTTCCACTCTTAAAGAAATGCTCAAATGATACATTGCCTCCAACAATCGCCAACTTCAAGGGCAATAATGAAGGTGCACTTAAAAGAATGTGGTTTTACATTGTCGTGATGTTAGGTTTTGCAACTGGATTTTGGGGAGTTGTGGGAACTTTGTTTTTTGTGAAAAATTGGAGATATGCTTATTTTCAATGGATGGATGATGTCCAACACTGGATACTTGTGGTTATAACATCGAAGGTGGCACAATTCAAGAAGATGTTCAATGGCGACCAAGATGATCAATAAGTTATATATGGCGTATGTTGTTGTTGCTACATTAATTATTAAGTTAGTTGGACAACACCATATTACAGGTAATAGTGTCGAGTCCAACTTTGAATGACCCAACATTGAATCGGTCAATTTTAAATGAACACATTAGTATTAGAGTTTGTAAAATTTTCAATAATATAACATAGGTTGTAATTTTATAGGTTTCCCAAAAAAAAAAAATTCATAAATTCTGATAGATAATAGAGAATTCTACACAAGGTTTTCAAATTGCATGGATTTTTATCTTTCTAGTTTTGTTTTAAAAAAGAAAAAAAAAAAAAAGAAAAGTAAAGCAAGAGATGAAAAATTGAGATAGGAAGAATGACTTAGCTGAGTAAATAATAATAACCAAAATAAAGTCCTTACATATTCATAGTCAAAGTTTAGAACTTTCAATCACACACAATCAAATTACTTAATTAAGTATCCAATATAATGCAACTCTTACATAAAATTCTCATGTCATCAATATTTTTTAAAATACATTTCCACATTGCATAAAGCATATGAACTATAGACTCATAAAACACTGTCCAAGCTAAATAATAAACAAAAAGCGAAACACAATTAATTATTTATTATTTTTAAATTTATACCAGTAATCTTCATGTATAAAAGGCCTAAAAGCTGAAACCTCAATATTTTGAATTGCCTTTTTCCTAACAAATCATCTTCAAATAAAATCACTAAAAAAAAGTATATCTAAATAAAAAAAAGTATATCTAAATGAAAAAAATATATAAATAATTTTAATCTTTTTCATTTGAAATATGATGTTAACATATTTTTGTATTACAAAAATAAAATAAAAAAATGGTGCTTTTGTAACCAAATCTTGAGTCTCCTTCATTTTATACACTCATGAATGTGCAAATGTCACTAGAATAGTTTTAAAGTTATAAAATGATTAACATGTTTTAACCTAAAA